AAATAAATAAATAAATAAATAAATAAATAAAAAGAAAAAAGAAAAACAATTCTAAATCACCTAGTAATATAGATACAAAATATACACACAGAAGTTGACAAAACTACAAAGAGAAACTATACCTCTCTTAATAACTGCTAGATCAATTGGTAAAAAATCAGTAATTATATAAAAAACAATTGAATCAAAACAATGATATTGAGTTATTGAATATATGCAGAATATTAAACTAAAGACTACACATTCTTTTCAAGAAAACACAGAACATTTACAAAAACTGATCACATACTAGGTCAAGTCTCAACACTTCAAAGAATTAGCACTACACAAAAATTCTCTTTCTACCATCTTTTTAAAAATATCAAAAAGATAGTTTTTAAAGCCTATATTTAAAAAATTTTAAAGCCGGGCACGGTGGCTCAAGCCTGTAATCCCAGCACTTTGGGAGGCCGAGGCGGGTGGATCACAAGGTCAAGAGATCGAGACCATCCTGGTCAACATGGTGAAACCCCGTCTCTACTAAAAATACAAAACATTAGCTGGGCATGGTGGCGCGTGCCTGTAATCCCAGCTACTCAGGAGGCTGAGGCAGGAGAATTGCCTGAACCCAGGGGGTGGAGGTTGCGGTGAGCCGAGATCGCGCCATTGCACTCCAGCCTGGGTAACAAGAGTGAAACTCCATCTCAAAAAAAAAAAAAAAAAAATTTAAAAATACTTCTAAATAACTCATGAGTCAAAGCAGAAATCACATTAGAAATTAGAAAATATTACTTATGGGATAGTGCTTTAAACAAAATGTATAGCTTAAATGATAGTATTAGAAAAGAACAGAGTAAAACTTAAGAGCTAAAGCATCCAATTTAGCAAATTTTTTTTGAAAAACAACCCCAAATATATCATTGAGACTATGGGCAAGGCATCAAATTAGTTCTTTGAAAAATATGGCCACGTCCCACAATAATGACATCTCAGTCAAAAACATACTGTATAAGCAATGATGGTCCCATAAGATAATCATACTGTATTTTAACTGCACTTTATCTATGTTTAAATATGTTTAAATACACAAATACTTACCATGTGCTACAACTACCTACAGTATTCAGTACAGTAACATCCTGTATAGGTTTGTAGCCTAGGAGCAATAGGCTATAATGTATAGCCTGGGTGTAGTAGGCGGTACCATCTGAGTTGGCGTGAGTCGCTCTATATGGCTGAACAATGACCAAACTGCCTAATGATGCATTTCTCAGAATGAATCCCCATCAATAAACAATGTATGACTGTACTAATAAAATTAATAAACTCCTAATAAGACTGACTTTTTAAAAAATAATGAAACATCAGCTATATAAGAAATGAAGAATGAACTATAATCATTGATACAGCAGAAATGTAAAGGTAAGAAAACATTATAAATAACCTTAAGCCAATATATTTTAAAACTTAGGTGAAATGGAAAAATGTCTAAAAAAATATAAATTACAAAAATTATTCAAGAAGAAAGAGGGAGCCTAAATGGTCCTATAACGAATAAAGAAATTAAATCACTAAACATTTTCCCTATGAAGAAAATTCCAGGCCCAAATAGTTTTACTATCAAGTTCTACCATGCATCTAAGGAATAAACAATTCCAATCTTACATACTATTCCAGATTTTACAAAGAGAGAGAATACTCCCTAATTCATTTTATGAGGCTAGCTAGCATAACCTTGATATCAAACCTGACAAACTCATTTTAAGGAAGTAAAAGAAATGAAGTATTTGCCTATACCACACGATATTTTTTTTTTAACGGAGTTTCGCTCTGTCACCCAGGCTGAAGTGCAGTGGTGCCATCTCTGACTCACTGCAACCTCCACCTCCTGGGTTCAAGCAGTCCTACCACCTCAGAGGCCTGAGTAGCTAGGATTACAGGCAGATGTCACCATGCCTGGCTAATTTTTCTTTTTGTAAAGGGAGTTTCACCATGTAGGCCAGGCTGGTCTGGAACTCATGAACCTCAAGTGATCTGCCCGCCTCAGCCTCCCAAAGTGCTAGAATTACAGGCATGAGCCACCATGTCCAGCCTACATTTTCATGTAGTATATATTTGCACATCCACCCTATCCACTAGACTGTGAACTCTTCTAGGGAAGACATCATTTATTATTCTTGTCACCCTAAAGACTTAATCACCAGCAAGACCTATTTTTCCCACATAGCAGACATTTTAGGGTTAAATGATCTGATGTGAGGATCAAATGAGAGGAGTTATGAACTATAAATGTGTTGGTTATATTTCTACACTATTAAAAACGAAAACACAATTTATACATGTTATTTTAATCCTCACAAGAACTTCCCCCCCCTTTTTTTTTTTAATCTCAATCCTCACAAGAACCTTTTTTTTTTTTTTTTTGTGACAGTCTTGCTCTGTTGCCCAGGCTACAGTGCAGTGGCATGATCTTGGCTCACTGCAATCTCTGTCTTCCAGGTCCAAGCAATTCATGTGCCTCATCCTCTATAATAGCTGGGACTATGGGCATCTGCCACCACACCCAGCTAATTTTTGTATTTTTAGTAGAGACAGAGTTTCACCATGTTGGCCAGGCTGGTCTCAAACTCCTGACCTCATGTGATCAGCCCACCTCAGCCTCCCAAAGTGCTGGGATTACAGGCGTGAGCCACTGCCCAGCCAAGAACCCTCTTAAAGTATGTATTAATACCCCACTTGATAGAAGAGCCTCAGGGAGATTAAATAACTTCCCAAGATCAGGCAGCTAACAGGTGAAAGAGCTAAGATTTGAGCCCAAGTCAACGGCTACATTTAAGTGATTTTACTTTCTCAGTATTCCCCAAATTCATTTCTCCATCTTTTAACTGCCTAGTTCAGGGACTCTTCTTTCTCAGAACCCATAGAGCAGAGTCATAAAAGCACTGATTTTGGAATTAAATACAACTATATTTGAAACCCAGTTGTTATTTATGGGTTGTCTTATTTCCCATTTGTGAATCAAAGATATTACCTGCCTTCAGTGGTTGTGGTAAGTACTAAAGAAAATGCTCGGCCTATAATTCCAGCACTTTGGGAGGCCAAGACTGGCGGATCCCGAGGTCAGGAGATCAAGACCATCCTGGCCAACATGGTAAAACCCCATTTCTCCTAAAAATACAAAAATTATCTTGGCGTGGTGGTGCATGCCTGTAATCCCAGCTACTCAGGAGGAGGAGGCAGGAGAATCCTTTGAACCAGGGAGTCAGAGGTTGCAGTAAGTCAAGATGGCACCACTGCATTCCAGCCTGGCGACAGAGTAAGACTCTGTCTCAAAAAAATAAAAATAAAATATTCATACTTGCCAGACGAGATGGCTCACACATGTAATCCCAGCACTTTGGGAGGCTGAAGTGGGCAGATCACAAGGTCAGGAGTTTGAGACCAGCCTGGCTAACATGGTGAAACTCTGTCTCTACTAAAAATACAAAAATTAGCCAGCCGTGGTGGCAGGCACCTGTAATCCCAGTTAATTGGGAGGCTGAGGCAGGAGAATCACTTGAACCCAGAAGGCGGAGGTTGCAGTGAGCCATGATCGCGCCACTGCACTCCAACCTGGGTGAAAGAGCAAAACTTCGTCTCAAAAAAAAAAAAAAAAAAAAAAAAAGAAAAAGAAAATACTCATACTCAAAATATGGTCGTTCTTACAAGTCCTTTCTGTAAATCCTTTAAATTCATGCCAAAGAGAAACTATAAGCCAAAGTATTTGAAAACATCAGGTGCAGTGGCTCATGTCTGTAATCCCAGCACCTTTGGGAGGCTGAAGTGGGAGGTTTGCTTGAGCCCAGGAGTTCAAGACCAGCCTAAGCAACATAGTGAGACCTCATCTTTACTAAAATAAAAATAAAAAAATTGTGAGGCATGGTGATACATGCCTGTGGTCCCAGCCGCTCAGGAGGCTGATGCAGGAGGATTGCTTGAGCCCAAGACTGCAGTGAGCCGAGATCATGCCACTGCACTATAGCCTGGGCAACAGGGGAAGACCCTGTCTCAAAAAAAAAAAAACGATATTCAAAAATAGGCCAAGTATGATGGCTCACGCCTATAATCTCAGCACTTTTGGAGGCTGAGGCAGGTGGATCACGAGGTCAGGAGTTCGAGACCAGCCTGGCCAACATGGTGAAACCCTATCTCTACTCAAATACAAAAAATGAGCTGGGCGTGGTGGTGCATGCCTATAGTTCCAGCTACTTGGGAGGCTAAGGCAGGGGAATCACTTGAACCCAGGAGGCAGCAGCTGCAGTGAGCTGAGATCACCCCAC